GCTCAGGTTTTTCCTCTGGCATCGCTCCAAAGCACACGCGAAGCCTGGCAACTACCTTCTCTGCAGGCCCGAATGTCCTCGGCTGAAACGGAGGTAACTCCGGTGCTGCCTACCTGGCCAACAGGTTACACGGCTGAAAACCCCGCATTCGGCTCAGCCGCGAGCAGCGCCCCGGGCCGACCTTCACGGCCGCCACTCCAGGAGCCTTCCCGACCCTCAGCACCGGCGCCGAGCGGGGCCTGGGCGGCCTCCCGCCGGGATCCCAGCCTCCCGGTCTCCCCGCCCGCCCGCAGGCCCCGGAAGTCCGCGCCTTACCTTCCGCCTCGCGCCAGCAGCCACCTCGCAGCCGATCCTAGCCAGTCCGCGGGTCCTTTTGCCCAGCGCTCCTCCCGGCGCCGCGGGGGCGGGCCCGCGCCCGGCCCTTGCCATGGCAACGCGAAACTTCCGGCCCGCGCGCTCCAGGACCGGAAGTCGCCGCGCGGGGGCGGAGTCGAAGCGCGCGGGGGCGGGGCTTGCCCAGAGCGACTTGGGAGGCTGCGGACCGCTGCGTGGGCAGGGGACAGAGATGGCCGGCCGGCAAGGGGAAAGCCTGCCGGGGCGAGAAGCGCAAGTAGTCACAAGTTTACCAGGAGGGTGGTCGTCTGATTACGCTGATCTTTTCAGGAAGGCTCCGAGTTCACTCGACAAAGCAAGGGCATTACGCGGGGAGAGCATGCGCCAAGGTGGAACAGTTGAGGTGGTGGTTTAGGAGGGTGGGGCCCGCTCTGTGGGGTATGTGCGGTCAGCGGTGAGTCGTCAGGACTTGAGGAGCCTTGAACGCCAAACCAAGAGCTGGGCTTTATCCTGCAAACAAGGAAGGGACAGTGGAGGAAAAGCGGTGCCTTAGACCTGTTGGAGAAAAAGACCTCTCAATGACTGAACTGGGCTAGGAGACACAAGAACCTCTCAACTAGAGCCCTGGAAACGAACAGGACTTGAAGAGGTGACATGGGAGTCCAGAGGAAGCCAGATGAAATATGAAGAATCTGATAATAGAGGTAGCAGTGTAGCACCCCAACAGCAGCATCTCGGCCCCAGGCTTCCTCCTCCAGAGCACCCATCACCCATCCCTTCTCCCAGCACCTCAGTGAGAGCCGCGCACCCACTGTATGCTCCAGATTTTCAGCCCTCTAAGGGTATAATTGGGGGCAAACTGGACAGGGGGAGTGCTGCTGCTGCCCAAGAAAAATCTTGAGTAAAGTTATATAAAGTGTGTCCTTGTGCTTCCATGGCTTCCCTTGGGTCTGGGGGTTCTAATAGCAACATCCCACCACTGCTGGTGTCCTGGGCCTGATAAATCCCTTGTGCAAATTTGCCCAGTCCTCCGGGGGGGTGGGGGTGGGAGAGGCTTTGGGGTAGCATACAGAGCAGGGTACAGAGCACTTGAGAGGCAGAGCCACAGATCGGGCCAGGGAGGAGGTGAGGGGACAGAAGGGTCTGGGACCAGAAGAACCATGTCTCAGGGCTGCTGCCAAACACACTTTTCCAGGGCTGCACCTTTGGGCCAGGCCCTGTGCCTGCTAAAGCACTTAGAGGCTCTAGCCAGGCCTGAGCAGGGGGTGCTGGCACCACAGGCTTCATGGGGCTCAGCCTCCACTCCTCCCAGAGTGCCCCTTCTCCACTCAAGCCAGACCCCACCAGCCTGGGGAGCATCTCCCTCCTTCTAGCGTAAGCTGCAGGGCACTGGGAAGCCCTGTGTACCCACACACAACACAGCTGCCCTCACTCCTGCCCAGGGTGATGCCAAGTGGTCCTCCCAGGCTCCCCTGGGCGGGAACCATGATCCACAGGGATGTATTCTCAAGGCGTGGCCCCAAGAGGTATCCAGTAAACCGCTACGGCTAGAAGGCCTTCCCTTCCATGCACACCCACCCAGGGGCACTGCCTGAGTGCCCCAGGGGACCACGTGACCTCCTCCTCTGGAAAACTTCCAAAGGATCTGGACCCAGAGGCCCAGAAAAGGGGGAGAAAGACAAACGTGCTTCCAGGAAGTTCTCTCAGGCCAGGGAGCTCCAGCTGTCCCAGGGCCACTGAGGTGCAGACTGGGTGCACAATGAGGACCCACTGTTGACCAGCACCAAGGAGGGAAAGAAAATGGCCTCCAGGACCTGGAGAGCCTGCTAGGGCCCTGCAGCAGCCTGTGGGAAAATTCCTTGAGTCAACTGTATCTGTCTCTTATTTATGAGTTTTCCTCCAGGAAGCCCTCCCAGACCACCATCCAAGTCCTGCTAGCTGCTTGGTCTTGAACCCTGGGCAGGACCCACCCCTTCTTGGCAGCTCATCTTGGACCAATCACTCCTCTGTTAAATGGGAGCCTGAGATCTGGGTGGGATAAAGTAAGTGTGTGTCATAAGCCCTTCCACGGACTTTTCTTTCCAGCTCTAGGGGGGTGCCCAGGGCAGCCCAGGGGTGAGGAATGGGGCCTGGGTGGCCGCCGCAGCCCCCACTGGAATCTTCCCTGCCCTTTCCCTCCCTTCCAGATTAACCGAAACCTGCTAATTGTGGCTGCCCTCAGCACGCTCCCCTCCCCCATCGCGTATTTCTGCCTCCCCTCCCCTCCCCCTTCCATCCGAATGATAAAGGGCTTGGCCCGCCAGCCCCCGCCTGGCCTCAGGTCCCAGCTCTGCCTCCCCACACTACCACACTACCACACTACCCCGTGCCCAGCACCCACTGCCCGGCTGGGCCTCTGCCCACGTTTCCTGCTTCCCCTGCATGGGGCCCTGCAGCAACCCCCGCCTGGGGCTCCCCGAGGGGGATTCGCCCTCCCAGCCCCCCAAAAGGAGGAAGAAGAGATACCTGCGGCATGACAAGCCCCCCTACACCTACTTGGCCATGATCGCCCTTGTGATACAGGCTGCACCCTCCCGCAGGCTGAAGCTGGCCCAGGTGAGAGGACCCCCGCCCGCTCTCCCTCGCACTCGGTGATCGGACCTGTGCCCCTACGCGTCCTCCAATGACCTGAGGCTCAGGCTCCGGCCTCCACCCTGACCTGGCCGTCCCCAGCCATACCAGGGGGGCCAGTCCCGGCCTGGGCACCCAGGGAGAGAACTAAGGTGCTCGGGCAGACCCCTTCCTGGCGAGGCAGGCCACACAGTGGTGAAAGGAGGGGCAGCGTTGCCCCCGCCCGCGCGCCCGGGCTCACGGCGCCCACCGCCCACCCAATGGTTTCAGATCATCCGTCAGGTCCAGGCCGCGTTCCCCTTCTTCAGGGACGATTACGAAGGCTGGAAAGACTCCATCCGCCACAACCTCTCCTCCAACCGGTGCTTCCGCAAGGTGGGGCAGGGCGAGGGTCAGAGCCTGGGAGAGGGACGCCGGCGGAAATCCTGATATCCGGGGTCGTGCAGCCCCACCCAAGCCTGCTCCCCTCCCCCACCAGGTGCCCAAGGATCCCGCGAAGCCCCAGGCCAAGGGCAACTTCTGGGCGGTCGATGTGAGCCTGATCCCGGCCGAGGCGCTGCGGCTGCAGAACACGGCCCTGTGCCGGCGCTGGCAGAGCAGGGGCGCGAGGGGAACCTTCGCCAAGGACCTCGGCCCCTACGTGCTGCACGGCCGGCCCTACCAGCCGCCCAGTCCCCAGTCGCCGCCCTGCGAGGACTTCAGCATCAAGTCTCTGCTAGGGGGCTCCGGGGAGGGGACGCCGCGGAGCAGCCCCAATCGGTCAGGCTCAGAGCGCTCAGGGGAGGGAGAGCTGCCTGCTGCACTCCCGCCCTCTGAGAAGCCTCTGTGGCCCGTCTGCCCCCGCCCAAGGCCCATCAGGGCAGAGGGGAAGACTTCCCAGGGGGAAAACAGCAGGCCCTCCATCCTGTCCCCTGAGTCCAGGGCCTGGCCTCTCCACTTACTGCAGGGGACCGCAGACCCCGGGGTTCTCTCTGGTGGAGGTCACAGGGCCTCGCTGTGGGGGCAGCTGCCCACCTCCTACTTGCCCATTTACACTCCCAACGTGGTGATGCCTTTGGCCCCACTGCCACGCACCTCCTGCCCCCAGTGCCCTCCCTCCACCAGCACAGGCTATTGGGGGGTGGCCCCGGAAACCCATGGCCCCACAAGGCTGCTCTGGGATCTAGATGCTCTCTTCCAGGGGGTGCCACCCAACAAAAGCATCTATGATGTTTGGGTTAGCCACCCCCGAGACCTGGCTACCCCCACCCCAGGCTGGCTGTTCTCCTGGTATGGCCTGTGATGCTCCCAGGGCAGGGGCTGCTTTCCTCTGCCACCCTTAGGCTTGTTGAGGAGAAACCAAGGTCTGTGTGACTCTGGCAGCCTGAGACAGAGGCACCAGCCACGCTGAGAGTCCACTTGTTTATTGGCTGCCCCAGAAGAGCTATGGCCCAGCAGGGCATCACCCTAGAGGCAAGGCTGGATGGAGCAGGGCTCTACCTGGAGTAGCCCTTCCTTTCCCCTTCCTGGCCCCACCTTCTCCAACTCTTCTTCCATCTATCCATCCATCCATCCATCCATCACCAGCTGTCACCTCCCCTCCCTGGCTTGGGCTGGGGGAGGGAAAACCTAATGGGGCTCCAGCCTAAAGCCCTGTCCTCCCTCAGCTGTTGCCTGGGAAAGAGGAAGCACCTTTGGGGGGAAGGGGATCGAGAATGGAGACTCTACTTGGCTTTGGTGATGGTGGTGGGGAGGTAACAGTAAAGGAATAGACATTTCAACCCAAGTCTAATGTGGTGATGGGATAGTGACTCTGGTGACCACTTGGCCGCGGTCTGCATCTGCGGCCCTGGGATCCCCTGCTGTGCACTGCGATAACAGCAGATGGTGATACGGGGGCGGGGGAGGTGTGATCATTACCCCAGGCAGAGCACTCCTCCAGGGTGGGAGAGGAGGGTGGACTCCGGCAGTGGGGGAGGGGGGGGGGCAGCGGCCCCCAGAGATCAAGGAAGTCATGAGGAAATAGGGATTTTGCTGCCTCTGCCCGCAGAGATGTGACCCAGGCTCCTTGGGCAGGACTAGGAAGGCAGGTCCTCCGGCGGTGCCAGGGCCGAGCTGGAGCCGCTGTCTAAGCCGGGGCTTGGAGGGCTGCCGGGTGACGGCGTGGGGGTGCAGGGGGTCCCGGAGAGTGGTGTGTCGGTGCTCAAGGAGGAGGGTGTCCCGGAGCGGGGGGCCCTGAGGGGCCTGGCCGGCCCCAGCTCCACTCGGCTCACACGCTCGGCGAACTTGAGCGAGCACACCGTCTCGCCGAGATCCTCGGGCCGCGTGGAGATCTGCGGGTAGCAGCGCTGGTAGGCATGCCCTGGTGGGCGGCGTCTGGCATGCAAATCACACCCCCGCGGGCCGCCCCGCCCACCTGCAGCAGCAGCACCGCCGTGGCGCCTGGGCCCAGCGCCGGCTGCAGCAGCCTTGTGAGCTGCGAGTCGCGGAAGGGCACGTGGGGCCGGCGGGCCCGCAGCGCGGCCATCACGCCTCCCAGCGCCAGCAGTGAGCGGTTGATGGTCCGAGCCTCCCGTAGACGCTGGGCGCCGTCCCGGTCTTCCTGAGATGTACTGGCCGCCCCCGCCTTCCAGGCGCGCTCGGACCCCGCCAGGTCGACGAGGTGCAGCGTGCCTGCAGGGGCGAGCGAGCCGGGCGTGGACGGAGGCCCGGCGTGGGTGCAGCAAGGCCCCCGCAGGGCTCAGGCTCCGAGGTACCTGCGGTGCCGGTACCGCGCGATGGGGACGCTGTGCGCAGTGTCAGCGTGACCAGGGCGTGCGAGCGAGAGCTGCGCTGGTTCATGGCTGTGGCGGCGGTGGCCCGGTTGCTCCTCCCCAGGCTCAGCATCTGCAGGATGGGCAGACAAGGGCTGGCCTATGGCGGGGCCCGCGCCCCCCGATGCGGGTAAGGGCAGGGGCTGGGAGAGCTGCGGGGCCCCACTGGGCAGCCTCACCTGGTGCAGAGACTCCAGGCTGGGCACGTCCCAGTGGGTGAGGCCAGCCACCTGGACTCCCCCCTGGCCTGCTGGGCCCTGCCTCACTGCCAGGCGCTGGGGAGGCCCTGGGGCAAGGAGGTCCCTGGTGAGAAAGGGCAGGGCTCCGTTGGGGGGGCTGGGGGTGGAGACAGAAGGGGTTGGGGCTGGGGGCAAGGCGGGAGGCACCAGGTGCCCCTGACCTGACAGCCTCATTGTAGATCTCCACCATGCTGAGGGTCACGCGGTGCTGCCCGCCTGTGCCCATCTCCTGGAACAGTGACTGCAGTGCCCTAGGAGCGATGCCGGGGTCCTCAGGCGGGCCCTGGGGATAGCGTGGGGTGCCTCAGCAAGCTCACATCCCAGCCCCTGGCTCCAGAGCTCCCCAACTACACCCTTTCCCACCTCCATGCTGTAGGTCTTCCCCGTCCCTGTCTGACCGTAGGTGAAAATGCAGACACTGTAGCCCCCGAGGCAGGACAGCACAGCAGACTCCAGCTCCCTGAAGACCTAGGGGTGCAAGGGGTTTGGAAGGGCCCTAAGCCTGGGGCAAGATGTGACCATAACTTGATTCTCCTGGGAGGAGACTGGCTTTAGGGGAACGTGGGGGAAGCAAGGATCTCCCAACCGACAGAGGAGGCTCCCTGGACAAGGTGGCATTTGCAAGAATTTGCCAGCCAAAGAGGGAAGGAACATGACAAATAGGAGGAACAGAGTAATGCGGTCCTGACGACTGACTGCTTGGGAGACTTGGGGGTGTAGCAGTCAAGGGTCCAGACCCTGGGCTCAACGGCCAGGTTCAATCCCTAGGTGGGATTGGAGGCAAATCTCTCATCTTTTCCTCTGCAAGGTGGGGACTGTAGCGGCACCTGTTGTGAGGATTAAGTGAGAACATGGAAAGAGGGCTAGTGTAGCACGTGGCATGTGATGGATGAACCCAGAGGGCCTATGGCTGGGGGGAGGCAGCAGCCAGGATCCTGAAGCTGGGCCCTGGGCGGGTGCACAGAGACAAGTGAAGGGGACATGGAGCTGGGACTTGGCATCCTGCTGGCAGCTGGACACCAGCAGCAGCCTCCTGAGCAATGACATGGTCAGCTTCCATGCCCAGAAGGCATCTGGTAACTGAGTGGGGAGCCAGTGCTGTCTGAAATGTTGACCGCCAGACGCTAGAGCAGAAGCCAGAACAGCCAGTGAGGTGGCTGAGACTCCATGGCTAGAAAGGAGTGCTGTGGGTGCCCCTGCAGAGGCGGGGCACACAAGGGAGGGGCTCAGCGCCTGTAACTCTCCTCCAGAACCGCAGGGCCCTGTCCACCCGGGAGACAGTGCACAAAGGGGCCCCTGAGGGCTGCAGACGGCACGGAGGCTGAAGACAGGGTAGGGGTGCTGTGGGGTCAATGGACGTAGGTGGCAAACAGCTGTGGTGCCCCAAATAGTGAAAGAGGGAGCCCTGGCCGCCTGCCAGGCACTCTCATCACCGTCTGTCCCCGTGAGGCCACCACAGTCTGATGTCTGACAGCTCTGCCTCTCACCTCACCCTCCCAGCTCTCAGCCTCGTTCCTGAGCTACTGGGAAGCTCTAGCTGCACAGTGTGTGTGCATTGGAGAGGGTGTGTGGGAAGCAAGGTGGCACGCGCTGGGACTTTAGCCTCTGCTTTCTAGCTCCCTGGGTCTGGCAGGAAAGGGGAGGAGGGCAGGATCTGAGTGGGGCACTTGGAGAGCCCTGGTGCTGGAAGCTCACCTGTGCTCCCCACTCCCCCAACCACAAAGCAAGGAGGGGTACCCCCCTCAGAGCGGGCCAAGCTGAATGCTGGGCCAGGGAAGTGGACAGCCAGGGAAGCCTGGGGGACGGAGGTACCCGGGCACAGCAGGGCTGCAGCTGTGCCCTGTAGCCCCGCGGGACTGTCACTCACGCATGCTCTCCTGGCACAAAGTTACTTTTGAAAATGTTAATCTTCCTTTAAGCCATAATCTGTCTTCCCCAGCCTGCAAGAGCTTGGTGGGCAGATGCAAAGGAAAAACCCTGGGAGGAAAGCAGGTGCCCAGCTAGGATGCCGGCCCTGCCCCCAAGCCCCCTGGCTCCCTTCCCTTCCTTGCTGGAGTCCAACCACCCTCTCTCCTAGGAGGGCGGACAGACAGGAGCCTCCTCAGGACTCCAGAGGATCTGAGAGACAGTCGACACAGATCCAAGGGTGGAGCATCACCTCCTCCTGGCTGGCGTGCGGAGGGAAGACCCAGTCTAGGCGGAAGCGACGCTGGTGCCCTCGATAGCAGGTAGTAACAGTGCCACCTGGGCCGGGCTCTAGGCTCACCAGGCTGGAGGGTGTCCCTGGCCTCAGGCGACACAGCACACGAATGTTTCCTGGGGTGGAGATCAGGTCCAGGCGCTGCCTCCTGGGTCCTGAAGTGTGAAGAGCCTCCACGTCCCCAACCTCTGCCACTCCAGCCCTTTGCTCCCCAGACCTGCTGTACCTTTGAGCTCCAGCAGCCGCCCTGGGCATCCGGGGAGAGGCCCCTGCGGCGCCTCCGCGAGTTGAGTCCCAGCCCCATCAGCTGACAGTGCCCCCAGAGCCCAGGAAACCTGGGGGAACAGAGATGTGAGGGAGGGGCTGGCACAGGGAGGGGAGGCAGTGGAAACAGCTGGGGGATGCGGTGCTGAGGGCAGGATCTACTACGTGGCCCAGCTGTGGTGATCTACTGCTTTCTGTGGCTTCAGGCCCCGGGGACGGGGGAGGATCTCTCAGTGACCTGGGATGGAGCTCAGGGACCTGAGGAGAATGCTGGCTCCTGGCAACCCTGTGAGAGATCCACTGTCACCCCAGTCTGCACAGGACACAGTCACTCTGGCGCCAGAGCCCCTAGTCTCCATCAGAGCAGATAACACCCTGGGACTGGAAAGGAGGCAGGGACAAGGGCTCCCCAAGGGAAGGCCAGTGAAAAGGCTGCCAGAGAGCAAGCGCGAGGGAGGGAGCAAGCGGTTCTGACCTGTCCCTGGGCTTCACTCAGAGAACCCTGGCAGCTCTGGGTAAAGGTGCTGACGAGTCCCCGGAGGTCCCCGCAGCCCTGACGCAAGCTGGCCATGCGAGCACGAAGTCCTGTGGGGGAGGCCGTGGTGAGGGGAGGCCAGACCCCACACCTTGCCATGCGCTCCACAGCCCCGGAGCTTACCTGCCAGCTGCCCTCGCATCTGCTGCAGCTCCCTCCTGCAGTTCTGCTCAGTCTCCTGCTGGAGCTGCCGGAGGGCCCCCTGAAGGCCCTGCAGCTGCACCTCCTGCACCCCTAGCTGCCCCCACCCAACCCCACCCCTGTCACTGAGGAAGCAGGCACTTACCAGGCTCTGCCTCAGGCACCCCCTTCCCAGCACCCCAGACTTCCCAGCCCCTGGGCCCCGTGCCCACCTGGACTCGGAGGGCTTCCGTGGTGTCCTGGGCTTCTTGAAGCCGCCCCCGAAGCTCCAGCAGGGCTTCTGCCTTCTCCTGCAAGGGGAGTGGGAGCCAGTCAAACTGTGGAGGCAGGAGGCAACTGGGGGGTGCACTCCAGCTGCCCCATTTTACAGATGAGAAAGTTAAGAGAGGGTTGTAAAGCTGGTCACACATCCGTGCCTCCCAATTCCATGCAAGGGTCCATTCCCCAAGTCCTTCTGCTCCCCTGGGGTCAGCCACTGGGAGAAGCCTTGGAGTGAAGTGAGGGGATTCTCAAGTCCCCGCCCCCCTGCCCCTTTTTAAAAAACATTTATTAGGGTGTGTGGGGTCTTCATTTGCAGCATTCGAACTCTTAGTGAGACACGTGGGATCTAATTCCCTGCCCAGGGATGGAAATGGGCCTCCTGCATGAGGAGTGCAGAGGCTCAGCCCTGGGAGCAAAGAAGGTCTCCTGAACAGGGCTACCATGCAGTTGCTGCCCACAGTCTGGGCCCAGGTCTGAAGGGTCAGAGGGGGAGTCCTGAGAAAGCACGGGTAGTGCTGCTAGAGACCAGGTGTGCGGGAGCCCCAGGCTGCAGCGATGGTCACAGCTGAGAAGCAGGATACCTGGGGGGCCCTGGTGTGGGGGGCAGGGCCCCAGTGCAGCAGGAGATCCCGAGTAAGGCTCAAGCTCTGTTTCAGGGCTTTGTTCTCCAGAGTCAGATGCTGAACCCTTTTCTCTGAGTCTGTTGCTCCCTGGGAGAGAAGGAAGTCCTCAGGACTCCCCTGGAGGCTGGGGCCCTCTGTGGGCCTTCGTCCAGCCCCCATCCAGCAGCCTCACCACTCCCAGGCGCAGCTGGCCCAGCTCCTCCTCCTGATGTTCCAGCTGCTGCTTCAGCTCTTCCAGCTGGAAAGGAGGGAGGGGCACCTAGTGGAACACCTTCTTCCAGTCCCCTCCCAGACTCCCAGGCCCTTCCCAGACGCCCAGGCCCCAGCTGCTCTGGACTCCTCACCTGTCCAAGGATGAGCTGTTCCAGCCGCTGCCAAGCCCTCTGGTCCTCTTCCAGCTGAGGAGGCTGCTGCCCCTGGGCCTCCCCCCTTGGTGAAAGGGAAGGGCTTTCTTCTTGCAATGGGGATCCTGGGGTGGGGTGGACCCAGTTAGAACAGAAGAGCTCTGTGGCCTGAAAGGGGGCACCTCACATCTGGCCGCACGGGTTCTGGGGGGCACCAACCCCTGGATAGATTCCCTCTTCAGCTCACTACTCCTTACGCACCAGCAGGAGGAGGGTGCTGCACCCCTGAGACAGGCTGCATCCCCTGGGACAGGGCCTGCCTGCCCCTGGGACTTCGAATCCATGCCAGGAGAGCCAAGAATTGACCAGTCACCGTTAACAGTGGGGGAACATCACCGGGCTGGGAAAGAAACAGATATCAAAGCGGAGAAGAATGGGGGCCGGGTGGAGGGAAAACAGGGATGGATGGTGGTCAGAGGACCTGCAGAGACAAAACAGGTTGCTGGAGGAGTTTCAACTGCTCACCTTGCTCAGGTCGGGAGGAGTCCCAAAGCTCTCTTCCGCCCCCAGCTGGACTGACAGGAACTCGGCAAGACGCACGAGAGCCTCTTCCAGGGAGACCTCCGCCGGACAGCGCTCGGCTCCCCCTCCCGACCCATCCTCGGCCTCCGAAGAGCCTGCGAAGCCAGGGAGCAGGATGGGGAGGCGCGCTGGGTCTTGTGTCGGACGCTAGGCCACCAGCTGGCGCCTGCCAGGTCCCTCCCTGCATCTCTCAGTAGTGTTCCCGATGCACCAACAGTACCTACCGACCAGGCCGGTCAGCTCTGTCCACAGCTCTGCGGTTGGCTGGTCGGCGCGGCGGCGACTCCCGGGCTTACAGCGGGCGCTCTAGGGAGGCAGCAGGGGAGAGGCCCTGAGGAGAGGCCAGGCAGCCCGTGGGGTCCCTGCCTCCGGGGACTGAGCCCGGGGGCTGGCGCCGGGCTCTCAGCCTCCAACACCAGAGAAGGGATCTTCGGCACGGGCCCTCCCCCGCGTCAGCGCCCTGGGACCTGAGAACCGTTCTCGGGAAGAGGGTAGCCGGCCGAGCCGAGCGTTCCCCCGCTCACCTGGGCCGGGTTTCCAGCGTCGGCGGCCGTCGCGGCCCCGCCATCCCTACGGAAGAGGCTGTAGAAGATGTAGATGAGCAGCGAGTAGAAGGCGTACATGGGAGCGCGGGGCGGCAGAGGGCCCGGCTTCACGCCGCCCCGCGTCCCCGCGCCGACACCGCGCCCGCCCGCCGCAGAGCCCGCGCGCATGCTCCGGCGGCCGCCCCCTCGGCGCAGCCCCGCACCCTCTTCCAGCATCCCTACCACTCCTCCGCGAAGGACCACGCGCAGCGTCAACCCTCAGAGGCTGCTACCCGCAGGCGTCCAACCTCCCTACCCGCGAAACCCCTGCTCGGCCCCTCCCCTCAAGGCCCGTCCTCGGCCCGGTCCAGGCCCCGCCCCCGCCCTTCCTCAGCCCCGCCCCCGCCCTTCCTCAGCCCCGCCCCTAAAAGCCCCTCCCCGCCCCTGCCCCTTCCTTAGCCCCCTCCCCTCACCGCCCCTTCTTCAGCCCCACCCCTCACCGCCGCTTCCTCAGCCCCTCCTCTCACCGCCCCTCCCCGCCCTTTCCTTCAACCCCACCTCACCGGCCCTCCCTTCACTGCTCCTTCCTCGAGCCCCTTCCCTCCCCCCCAAACCATGGACTTGCGCGTCCCATCCCAAACTGAGACCCACTTCCTCCCAGCCCCGCCCTGCTCTCACGTCCATCTGGCCCCATCTCTCCCCGGGGCCAGACTCCATGGCCCCGCCCCCCCCAACCGCTCTAGCCGCCGCTCTTCTCGTTGGTCGGCGCTTGGTCGCCGCAGGCCGGGCGCGAGAGGCGGAGCAGCCGCCCGAGGGCGGTGCGGTGGGCTGGTCTGGGCCTCCAGCTTGCCGCTGCGTCGTGGTCGCGCGGCTCAGCGGCCTGAGTGCTGGGCTGTCGTTCATTCCCGACCGGGTTCCGAGGACGGCGCCTCCCAGAGCGCAGGGCCCTGCACCCTGGCTTGGGTTCCAGGACGCCAGAGTTAACGCCCACCCAGCCCGGCTCCTCACCGCATTTTCCCTTCCCGGCCGATTTAGGCCCTTCTTCCCCAAGGTTGTGGCGTCAGGGCTCCCTCGAGTTTCGGATGAGCTTATAACTCAAAAATGGGACTCTGGAACCTGGGAGTCCTGAAGAGACACCCTTAGGGCTCCCCGTTGCCGGCTTCTACATTCTTCTCCAAAGTTGAGGATCCCTTTCCTGTCCCCTTAAACTCACTACCGCCTGAGGTGTCATGGCCCCCAGGCCAGGGGGCGAGTGGAGCTCCGCCCTGTCCCACCTGGCGCTGGGAGCAGTGTCTCTGCACGCAGCCCTGAGCACTGCCCAGGTGAGTACATTGGGGCAGGGCAGGGGCGTAGCCTACTCCCAAATTCCTAGAGGATGGTGGGAGGTAAGTGTGTGGGCCAGGCTTCTGTGAGACCCCCAGACCCTCCCCTGCTTAAAGGGAGGTCCTGACCTCTTTTACCCACATTTCCGTTCCCTGTGTTGACAGGCAAATCGAGGGGCCGCTGCTGGTTTCTTGCTCCAGGCCCTGGCCGCCGCCACCATGCTGGCTTCAGGGCTGGGCACGGATGAAGACTGTCTTGCTGGAACCTGGGTGGCCACTGTCATTGGCCTGCCCCTTCTTGCCTTCGACTTCCACTGGGTGAATGGGGACTGCTCCTCCGCCAACCTGCTTCTGGGAGGAGGCATGGTGCTGGCAGTGGCTGGCGACCACCTTGGTGCTGAGGGCCGCTCTGTGGCTGGTCAGGCAGTGGTGCTTGTGGTTGCAGTGACTATCCTCATTGTGGCCGTTTTCACAACCAACTCTTATGGAATGTGGGGGGGTGTGATGCTGGGTGCTGCAGGTCTTCTGAGCCGGCTGGAGGAGGACAGACTGCTGCTGCTGCTGCCAAAGGAGGACATCTGTCGCTGGGCCCTGGCCGGGGGCAGCTGGGCCTACCACCGGGCCCTGCACACACAGCGCCTACAGTGGGAGTGATGGCTGGAGACTGCAAGGCGAGGCTTCCGCCCAGCTACCACCTTCCCGCGAGTGATAGACTCTCCTTCCTAATGCCAGCTTTCTGCAGATTGTCTCCCTCTCTGGCTCAGTGTGAGGACTCGCCCAAAACGAAAATGAGGGGGACCGGGTCCCAGGCACGTTGTCAGGCTTGATTTTGGGCAGGCCATGGTTGTGGATCCAGAGAGAGGCTTGGTCTCCAATAAACCTTAGGGATTTAGCAGGAATATGGACTCTGACTCTTCTTTAGCCAGGTTGAGGAGTCCTGCAGTGAACTTCGTAAGGCTCCCAGGGCAGCAACTGGTTTTCCTGAGCAAAAGAAGGCAATGTGCGGGAACCAACTCTGGGGGTCTCCCTCAACTTGGCCTGACGGCACTGTTGTCAGGAGGGCCCCTGGACTGAGAAGATACAGCCCTTGCTCTCCTGGGACACGATGGAGTTATAAATATCCTTACAAGGTCTGGCTGGTGGTCCTCTGAGGCAGTGACCTTCACTGGCCGCCTGCTGGGATGAAGGCAAACAAGGTTGATAGCTGTTCACAGAAATGTACATCCCCTCCCAGGGCTGACTCAACCTCTACCCGTTTGCCCTTCGGCCTGTACAAGACAAGTCCTGATTTCTTAAGACCCTCGCTTTCCTTAGTAGACCGCTCTGCACCTCCGAACCCCCGGGTTAGGAGACGGGATTGGGCAGAGAGGGAGAGGTGGCCGGCAGTTTCTCACTCCGGTAAGCTAGGCTAGAGCCCCGCGCACGCAAGCCTGGGTGTCTGGGGACAAGGGCGCAGAGACATGTAGACGTGGGAGTCCAAGGTTGTCCTCCGTGCCCGGGTACCCAAGGCGTGTGGTCCGGACCTGGAGTGGCGGAAAATACCTTGTTCACCCGGTACGCCAAGACTTCCCCGCCCTGGTGAGCACCCCTATGCTCCTCGCCCGAGACCCCGCCCACTTTCTGCAGGGGCGGGTCCTCGCGCGCCTATTGGCTCTGGACGACTCGCTGTCTCGCCTGAGAGGTCTTCCCATTGGTCTCACGCAGCTCACGTGACTGGGAGAACGAGGGGGCGTAGGCGGTGGAGGAAGGTGGGGGAGAGCGCAGCGAAAACAAAGATGGCGACTGCGCCGGGGTCGGTGGCCGCGGCGGCTGCGGGGCTACGCGCGGGCCAGACCCACTGAGGCGGCGGCGCAGGGAGTGGGGGTGCGGGGTCTCGGCGGCGGCGGCGGCGAGAGGGCAGAGGGAGCGCGCGGCGCCCCTAACCTCCAGCCGCGGGAGCGCGCCGGCACCCGCCCGCCGGGCCGGCCGGCCGCGATGTCCGGCGCCGAGGAGGCTGGCGGAGGCGGCCCGACCGCGGGGCCAGCCGGCTCCGTGCCGGCCGGGGTCGGGACCGGGGCCGGGGTCGGGGTCGGGGCCGGGCCCGGGGCGGCCGCGGGGCCGGCGGCGGCGGCGGCTTTGGGTGAGGCGGCGGGGCCCGGGCTCCCAGACGAGGCGGGCCTAGCCGGCGCCCGGCAGCTGCAGGAGGCGGCGGTCGACCCCGACGCGCCGCCCAAGAAGCGGCTACGGGCGGCCGAGGCAGCCGAGGCGGCGGCGGCGGCGGCGGCGGCGGGCAGCGGGAAGCTGGAGGAGCGGCTCTACTCGGTTCTGTGCTGCACGGTCTGCCTGGACCTGCCCAAGGCCTCCGTGTACCAGGTAGGGCCGCCGGCCCGACCCCGACCCGGCTCGGCTCCAGCCCCGCAGCGGCCGGCCCCCCGGCACCGCGTCTCCTAGGAGGCCAGGCCGGAGCCCTGGGGCCCAGAGGTGGGACTCTGGCGCCTGTTCGGAAGCTCCTTTCTCGTCCCCTGGCAACTTTTTTGTTTCCTGTTCAGAACCCCTCTTTTTTCTTCTTGTTGTGAGTGCCCTTATACCTTGATGGGAACCTCCTGTTTCCGACTTAGACGCCCCTTCTCTTTCCCGCTTCCCTTGTTCTCTTCTCTTCTCTTCAGCACTCCCCGGCCCACCTTCAAACTGACCCCAGAGAAAGCTGGCGACAGATGCAGGCTCCTCCCCACTTCCCGGCCTGCTCCCCGCAGCCCTGGACTCCCTAGGCTCCAGGAGCCCCTGGTCTTGGCTCTTCCTCAAGATTTCTTGCCACTTTCTTTGCAGACACCACCCCCCCTGCCCGCCCACAAACTTGTCCTCATGCTCGCCTTGTATTCCTTTACCCTTTGCAGTGGAAAAATCCCCTTTCCCTTGTCATTTATTTCTGGAAAAACTTTGAGAAGGGAACGGCTCACGTCCTTGCCTTCGCCCACCCCTACCCTCACTCCTGATATGGATGAACTGCCTACCTCAAGCCCCACAGCCTGGGCCTCTTCCCCAGCCCAGCCCAGCGCCTTCTGGACCTGCTTTGCCTCAGACTGGGCTCCTGCCCGGTCCCTCCTCACCCACACCAGGCCTGGCTTCCTAGGCTACGGGCGCTCCAGGAGGTCTGTTGACTTTCTTTATATCATCTGAAGAGGCAGCGTAGTGGCTGGACTCAGAATCCTTAACCAGCCTTGTCCCAGGGGGATCCTATTCATGCACCACACAGCAACAGGGTCATACTCTGGTCCCAGGGTCACTGTGCAGTGTCCTGCTCTCACCGCTGTCTGTCTTTTCCACACTCCAACCCCCATCTCTGATTTCCCTCCCACAACTGCTTTGAGGAACTCTTGTCACCTTTGTTTGCATTTACAGGAGCTGGACATGACTGATGAGGCCTTGCCCCCTGCTTGCGCTCAAATTGGGGGCTGTGGTGAGAAGGCCATTTTTGTGCCAAAATAGCACAGGGCTAGTGTGGATTGTCATTTCCCAGCCTCTGGATCTCCAGCTCCTTCCTGCTCTGGCAGGTGGCTGCTTGGGATGACCCCAGTGTGCCCGGATCATGGAGAGAGAAAAGAGGAGGCATTGGTGGGGAAGTGGATTGAGTTCCTTGGGAGAGGACACTGGTTTTCCACTCACCTTCCTGGGCTTTGGGAAGCTCCTGGCCAGAGGTCCTAGTTCACAGGTACCACAGGCCTCCTGGCTCAGTACAAATGGGGGTAGTGCTTCTCATAACCCCCTCAGGCTTCAGGGTGCACCTGAGGACCTGTCCTTCCTCTTACCCCTTTTGGTTGCCCATGACCTTTTGATTCTTCCAGAAGGACTCTTCCCTGGGCCTTGAGTGAGACACTGGGAAACCAAGTCAATGGTGCAGAGTCCCAGGGGAGTTTGGGGGTGCATCGTCTCTTGTCATGTGAGTGGCTGGAGCTGGACCTGGCATGAGAGCAGACCATGCGGTGCTGGCTCTTGGTCCCCTCAGTGTAAAGAGCTGCATTTCTGCCTCTGGCCAGAGCTGCTGGTGACTGGGCCTCTGAGCCTGGCCGGTTCAAACCGGCCCACACTGTGCCGGGAGCTGAGGTCTGTCCTGGCCCGGCTGGAGGCAGGCGGCTGAGCAGCTCTGATGCAGGGTGAAGGCACTGCGGCTATGTGGGCCGTGGCCTTACCCATGACCTCGTGGGCTCTACTCAGCGCTTTCCCAGGAATGGGCCTGCTGAGCAAGGAGAGCCACGGATGGTGCCGGCGCTGGCCCTCTGCCCCACCTCCATCCTTCCCCAGTGACACCGGGCCTTGGCAGGGAGTGAATTTCCTTTCATCTCGAGAGGCTTGAGAAAGCTTTAGAGCATGTGGTCAGTGGGAGAGCCATTGGCTATGGAAGAGTTGGCCAGAGCCCTGCAACAGATCAGAACTCACTTTGGCTCCTCGGAGACTTGCTGTGGGATGGGGGCCCCTGGTGTAGATGCCCAGCTGTGCCCACACTGGAGCCTGGGGTGAGTGGGGCCCTGAGATAAGGTTTCTTGATCGCTCCTTGCTGCAAGCAGTGTTCCAGGTCACCTTCACAGCCACCCTGGATGGGGTCATTGATGGGGGAGAGGTTGAAATGGACCTGGAGCCCTGTGCCATTTTCTCCTGGGAGGATCTGGGCAAGGATGGCATGGGTCCTGCATGTACTACCTTGAAATGAGTGGACGCAGAGCTCTCTGCGTGTCCCTTGGGGCCCACTGCTTGCCATGTCTTCCTGGCCTGGGCTCAGCTTCTCCACTTCTGCTGGCCGTCTTGGTGAGTTACATTGAGCTGTCTGGTGTGCTCACCTCTGGTGTTGTGGTATATTTTGCTCTCTGTTCCTACAGGCAACATTTAGCCTGACCTCACCAGGATACATGCCTTGGGGCCGGCACCAGCCATGCCATGCATCTGAGGGCTGTTGCAGTTGGTGCCCAGTTCTGGGGGTGAGGAGAAGAGCCAGTGACCGTGCTGAGCCCTCATGCAGTGCCCGGTGCTGGAGTGACTGTGTCTCCATAGGCCTCTGGATGTGGCTGGGCAAACAGGAACTCGAGAACATGCTCTCTGGCCGCCAGCTCCTACCTCCGTGCTTCTGGGGAAGCCTGGGTAGTGCAGAGAATAGACACGGTGGCATGCGTGGGCCTGGTCACCTGTCTCTGATGGGAGCCCCTTGCTCACACCCAGCCCGCCACACCACCTGGCTTGGGAATCTTGCTCTGGAGTCAGACCAGGGTGCTCATGCAACTTGTTCTCACTGTGGCCTTTGTTAGGTGGGGTCAGGTCAGGATTGCAGCAGGTATGGCAGGTGCTGGCTTTGCTGTTCTTATGTGGGTGTTAGATGCATCCTGATAAGGCATGCAGCTGCTTTCCAGGCTCTCGGGTAGGCACAGCAGCGGGCAGCCAGGTGGGGGTAGGAGGCCTGGGGTGCAGCTGGGACAAGACAGGAGCTCTGCAGTGGGCAGCGGTGCTGCACCTGCTCTGCGTGCAGTTCTGGGACCCCAGGGCGCTGTGACCCAGCTCCTCTGCCATCTTCGGGGGAAACACAGCTTCAGCAGGTGGGCCTGGGGTGCTGCCCCCACAGCTGACCCCTGACCCCCATCCCGGCTCTCCCCAGCCCTTCACGCAAGGCAGACCTGTCCCTGACCCCACTGATGTCAGCGAAGGCCCTGGGCCGCAGACCACCCTCTGGAGGACAGGCCCAAGAGGCTCTGCCACCCTGACTCAGTTCTCAGCCAGGAGAACGCCTGTGCCCCCGTCAGGGTGGAGGAGTTGGGGCCTCTGTCATGGGCTGTGACGCCAGCTGGCCTGGTGCCTAGTCCACTACCTTCGGCCTGAGCCCCCTCTAGCCCTTTCCTCTGGCGCCCCTTCTGCCTGGGGCCCTCTCTGGTCCTTCCCCTCCCACTCCTGCAGGCCCTGCTGAGGCAGCACACTGGGCCAAGGCCATCCTCTCCCTGCTGCGGGATGCCTCTCCTGCCCCACCTGCCTGGTCAGCGGCACCGTCTGCCCCGGGGGAGGGCTGAGGCCGTGCTGCTGTGCCTTCTGTCCCCAGCAGGCCTCAGGTCAGCCCAGGGTCTTGGCCACCTGGTGGGCGGTCATGTGGGTGAGAGGCCTGTGAGGCAGGGGTGGCTCCATCTCTGCCCGGGTCCTGGCAGCATGGGTACCTGCCTTGGGGATCTTGTGAGTGCCCTGCCTCAGTGCCTGTTGACCTGCCCAGTGCCACAGACTCTGTTCATGGTGATGTTGAAGGGGTCTCCAACGGGGCTGCCCACCCACGTGGCTGGGGGTCCTCTTCCCCAGTGCCGAAACTGTGCTAGCTCCCACTTTGAGAACCTGTCTGCTTAGCCGTCCACACCAGGGGAAGAGCCAGTCTGTGGACACGAGAAGTTGTGCTTGCTTGAGCTGGCTGTCACTTGAGTTACCATTTGGTCCAGGCAGCACTCCTGGTCCCCGCCCAGGTCCCCGAGCCTTGGGGAGGGGGTCCAGGGGCTGCTGGCCCAGAGCTTCAGCCCCGAAACCTGGGGGAAGGTTGGAGTCCTGGCTTGTGCTGAGAAGAGGCCTTCTGTGTTTTTTGATGAAAGAGGTTGAGAAGACCTTGGATGGAGTATGCAGGGGTGTGAGGTGCCATGAGGCCCTACTGGGCCAGGTGACGGGGGCGGGGCAGTGGTGAGGCTCCAGCTGAGCTGAGGGGCACTTAGATGGCTGATGCCTCCACTGCTTGGAGGGTGGGCTGGTCTCGTGAGTCTGGGTTCTGAGCCTGCCTTTACTGGTAAGCAGTGGTGTTTAGGGGGCACCCAAGGGTTTGAGGGGACCATGCATTCCAGGCTATAAGGACTACTGATCAAGGACTTGATCAAGTACTGAGGGCACTTTGTAAGACCTGCTTTTGTCCCAGGGCCCAGGGCTTTTCCTCAGGAGTGCAGACACTGCCTCCAGCTCCCCCGGGGAAAAGTGTTTTGTTCAAGCAGAGGCCTGACCTACACACCCTGGGTGCACTGGCCAGGTGATGACCTAGGGGGCAGGTGCCAACGCCCCCCTTCAGGGCTGTTGCAGAGGGACTTGGCTGGAGAACCCAGAGGGAGGGAGGGCCTTTGTTGAGGCAGGCTTGTGCCGGGAGCTCTTCCTGAGGCTCCTGGGCAGGGGTGTGCAGAGGCCTGCTGGTGGTGGCAGAGTTAGTTCTGTGCCCTCGTGTGGTCCTGTCATACCTCTGCTGCACATGGTAAGACCAGCTTGTTCTCATTGCAGTATTTTTTGTGGGGGCGGGGGGGGGGAGGCGCGGGTGGCACAAGCTTATGGGATCTAGTTCCCCGACCAGGGGTCAAACCTGTGCCCCCTGCAGTGGAAGCACAGTCTTAACCACTGGATCTCCAGGGAAGTCCCTTTGCCTTACGTGCTTGAGAAAATCGAGGCCCAGAAAGGGAGGTGACCAGTCTATGGTCGTCCTGCTGGTGGCCTGTGGGGTCTGGCCAGTCTGGAGCCCCCTCCCCAACCCTTCCTGTCTCTCAAGTCTTCCTGGCAGGTGGTGGGCAAGCAGCCCAGGCTGGGTGCGGCAGGGGCTGCTCTGTGGCGGGCCCAGGCTCTCCGGGGCTTAGCCCTGGCAGTTGTGTGGGGCACTCCGGCCTGCCCTGACTGGTGCTGTCCATCAGAGGCTTGGCACACAGCCAGTGCTGGGCTGAGCCCTCTGAAGCCCAACTTCTGGCTGGGCAAGAGGCCCCCTGCCTCGGCCAGGCCTGTGTGCAGAGTCGGGTCTTGCTCGGGGGTCCAGGAGGTCCTGGATGTGGGGAGGGCTCAAGTGTGGTGACTGCAGACAGACCAGCAGGCAGGTCACCCGTTGTCCCCTCAGAGAGTGTCCCTCGGGTGGCCAGTAAGGGACCACCCGTGGGTGTTTGCTTCTTCCTCAGCCAGGCCAGCAGCGTTGGTGTGCTGTGTTCCATCTGAGAGCTGAGCTCTTAGGGCTGGAGGGGCCGTCACCCTGTCTCCCCAGAGGCCAGGAGAGGGCTGGTGCCTGTGTTAGGTCTGGAGGCTCCTGGGGGCTGGACGGGAGCCGGCCTGGAACAGGGTTGCTCCTGTAACCCCCGGGTTCTAAGGGGAGGCCTGCAGGTCACCCCGTCTGCTCCCGAGCAGTGGGCTTTCAGGGCAGGGCTGGGAGTGAGCGGTCACACACTGGGCAGCCTTGTGTCCCTCACGAGGTCCCTGGACCCCATCCCAAGTCTCTTACCCTCAGGCCCACGCCCTGGCTGGACCACCAGAGACCAAAAAAGTCAGCTGGGCCGGACCCAGCAGCAGCTGTTGCTCTCCACTCAGACTCTTGCGCTCTGCCTGAGGGCATCTAGAAATAACGTTGGCCACACAAAGTATTTTGGGGACTCAGGCCCTGGGGTCTCAGCGTCTGGCCTGGCTCCCTCCCTGAGGTGCTGGGCAGGTGTGTGCTGCCTTGCCGGCACTTCCTCCCGTGAGTCAGCGGTCAGGTTAGCAGGTCCTTTTCGCCTCTCTGCCTCTGGAGGCCACAGCGACCGTCCATGTGGATGTGGCTCAGTGCAGCCAGGCCCTTGGGCCCACCCGTGCGGGGGCGTGAAGAACGCTCCCGACCTGGGCGGGCGGCAGCAGCCTGTGGTGCCCGGACCCCACTGTCCTCTCCACTCAGATCTCTCTGGCTTCTCCACAACTCGGGGTGGACGGAACAGATTCCTTTTCTGCCCTGACTGTTCTTGGCACCAGCCTCACCCCCACCCTCAGCCAGCCCGCATATCCAGAGCAGACCTTGCCAGGCTCCCCCCTCATCTCACACACTTTAACCTTTCACCTGACTTAAAAATTGAGATTTGAGTGCGGCTGATCTACGGCACTTGTGTGGACCTGAGTTCTGTGTCTGAGGCCTTTGTCCCTGGCCCTCTGTCAGCCTTCAGGACATAGTCCCCTCACCCACTAGACCGCAAACATGGCCTGCAGGTGCTGAGAGCTCACTCAGCCTCCTGCAGGCCTCAGCTCCATGCCTGGACCCTGGAGCGGTGGGATGGAGGCTGGTGTTCACTGAAGACCCATCTTTTGTGGGCCTGGCCTGGCAGTAGCCCCGGTCGTCTCAACTGCGTTGCATCCCACTTGGAGAAGGGTCCTGGGCCCCAGGGGAGCTGGTGGGCACACTGTCCACCTGCTCATCCTCTGCCCTGGGCATCTCGCAGGGGAGGTGGGTGCACGGTGGCGGGGGCACCACACTCCCTCCCAGGCTCAGCGACCACCCAATGTGCCCCAGAGGACATGGCTCGTCTGCTCCTGCACCTCTGGTTCCCTTGTGGGCCTCTTCTACCCCAACCCTGTGAATCCCTGCAGACCCAAGCCCACAGCCTGTGTGTGTCAGCGGCACCAAGTGGGTGCTCTGGGGATGTGTGGAGCACCCTCCCTCAGTGAGGGAGCTGAGCCGCAGCCTGCTGTCCACACACCAGGCCCCCAGGCTGGAGGGGAGGTGGACAACCACAGCGTTTGGGCCTTGGATCCACAGGCTCAGAAAGGGAGGGGCCAGTTCCGAGGCCAAAAGCCAGCAACCCCCTGCAGATGCACGGCCCTTGTGCCTAGCCCAGACCGAGGGCCTCCCCATCTGCCCGGGCTGTGCTGCCAGCCATCAAGAAAGCCGCTGGCAGGAGCCAGCCCCTCGAGGGGGTGGCAACTGCCTTGCCACCTGTGCTGGCTCAGGTGGCCAGTGTGGCAGGGCCTGGGTGAGGGCACACCTGCCGAGGGTGGGAAGCTCGCCGAGAGCACACGCTCTCAAGGCGTCCCCGAGTCAGGCTCTGCTGGCGGCAAGGGCCACCTCGAGACCCGCCCTCCCTACAGGGCCGTGTGGGCTCCAGAGGCCAGCCCTGTGCTTGTCAGACCACTGCCTGCCTGCAGCCCCGGGAGGGGCCGGCCGTGGGGCGGGTGCGCCTCTGCCTGGTCCCGCAGGTCCGTGAGCTTCATCTCCCTTTCCTTCTCCGCAGTGTACTAACGGTCACTTGATGTGCGCTGGCTGTTTTATCCACCTACTAGCAGATGCCCGGCTGAAGGAGGAGCAGGCCACGTGCCCCAACTGTCGTTGTGAGATCAGTAAGAGCCTCTGCTGCCGCAACCTGGCCGTGGAGAAGGCCGTGAGCGAGCTGCCCTCCGAGTGTGGCTTCTGCCTGTGCCAGTTCCCCCGCTCCATCCTGGAGAGGCACCAGAAAGAGGAGTGCCAGGACAGGTGAGCGTCTGGACGGGCTGGCCTGCCCGCCTCCAGGCCCTGGCAGGGCGGGGTCAGCGGGAAGCTGCTGGGGCGGGCAGGAGGCCTCACAGACAGGGCTTAGATCTGCACCCGGCAGCCTCTGAAGTCACCCTGGTCCTTCAGGGTTCCTCATGGCCGTGTGGTGACTTCTTCCTTGGAGCCTGTCCTTGGTGTTCCTGGGCCAGTAGAGTGTGGCCAGCCCAAGGGCTCTGGGATAGTGGCGTGAGGGGGCACTGGGTCCCCAGTCCCCTAGGGGGCCAGGCCACTGAGCCTCCCTGGCGCAGAGCCATGCAGGGCTCAGGACCACCGTGGGGGGCCCACCCCGGTGGGTGTAGGTGGTATGTACACTCACAATTCACACATGCCCTGCTCCTTCCCAGGCACTCCCAAGCTCTGACTCCTTCTTGGGGCCGGCACACGGGGTATTTGTCCAGGGAGCAGTTTGCATGATCACGGCTGGGTGGAGGCGCCCCCTGGGATGGCCACCTTGTATGGGCAGGGTGTGACCACAGTGCTCACCGCCTCCCCAGGGTGACGCAGTGCAAGTACAAGCGCATCGGCTGCCCGTGGCATGGCCCTTTTCACGAGCTGACGGTGCACGAGGCCGCCTGTGCCCACCCAACCAAGACAGGCAACGAGCTGATGGAGATCCTGGATGAGATGGACCAAAGCCACCGCAAGGAGATGCAGCTCTACAACAGCATCTTCAGCCTGCTCAGCTTCGAAAAGATCGGCTATACAGGTGAGGCGCCCTGCCACCCGCTGCACCCCACACGGGCTGGGGCAGGGCCGGCAGCCAGGAGTCGGGGCAGATGCACCCGGTGGCCAGGCTCTGGACGAGCTCCTGGTGCGTGGGAGGATGCCTTGGGGAAGAGGGCTGGAGGCCGAGCAGGGGGGCTGGGCAGGACCCCAGGGGCCCTTGCATGGCTCTGCAGAGGTCCCTCTCCCTGGCGTCCCCACCCTGGTCCCATGACCCTGGCAAAGTGGTGTCCTCACTGCAGGGGGCTGCACGGCCTTGAGACAGGTGGGGTCTCACTGGAAGGTGGGTGTGTCTGGGTGGCTCTGGGAGCTGAGGGCCTGCCCTGCGGAGCCAGGGGCAAGAAGAACAGTCATCACATCGGGTCCTGCCGACAGGCAGTTACTGCAATGGTCACGGGCTTCCTGAGGCCAGTGAGAAGATGGGCAGGGCCAGGGCTCCAGAGTGAGCTGAGGGGGCCCAACTGAAACCGCAGAGCCAGGAGTGGACGCCCAGGGATGGGCAGGCTGGACTGCGCCCAGGCCGGCTGGATCTCCTGGGCTCTCCCGGTCACCACCACTGCGTTTGGACACTCTGGGGAGCAGGAGTCAGGCCAGAGCTCGCTCTAGACAGAGGATGGCAGGAAGCCTGTGCTCGCTGGAGTTCACGCCAGGCGGCCAGCTCCACGTCAAGGGCAGTCAGGCAGCAGTCAGACCGCGCTGCCTGGGCCGGGCCTGCCTCCGTGTGGGCCTGCGGAGGCCCAGGGAGCCAAGGGCCTGGCCTCAGCAGCAGAAGGCTGTGGTTCTGGTTAGTCGTAGCCCCGGCTGCCGTGGTGGGCACCGTGTCCCAGACCACCCAGGCCAGGCCTGGAGAGTCGCTGTGGACCGAGGCGGCGTGACTGCGGCGTGGCCGGGAAGGGAGGACTGGCCGCCTCTGCAAAGGGACTTGCCAGCCGCGGGCTCTGCCGTGAGGACTGTGGCGGCGGTCACCGCCGACTGGGGGCCCTGCGGCCAGCTGGTGGAGCCAGGACTGGGCCCGCCACGGGGCTGCGCCTCGAGGCCCAGCATGGGCTTGGGGGCCATGTGCCAGCCCGGCCGCCGGCTTTTCTGGCAGCTCTGTATCGGAACCAATAAAGTGCACTTTTTCACAGAACTGCATCCTGTCTGTGTGTCTGCTTACCCCAGCCCCCTGGGTGGGGCCGCTCCCCCTGCGGGGCCCCAGGGAGGAGAGGAGGGGCCAGTGGGGGTCCGGCCACGTCGGCCACTCTCCCCTCGCAGCCTCTGGGCTCCCTGCCGCTAACGAGTGTCACTTCTGTTTGTAGTTGTTCCCCCAAAGCTTGCGTGCGCCTTCGTTTGCCCTAATGGGTTTGATTTGCCTTGTGACAAGTAGAGCTGCCGTGTCTGGGTAAGTTGCCTTCCTCCCTGGCCGAGCCTTTCTCCTCGGCCGGCCAGGAAGGCGCCACCCTGGCCCTGCCCCCTCTGACCGCCGGCCCCCGGCCTGTCTGTCTCCACAGAGGTCCAGTTCCGGCCGTACCGCACGGACGACTTCATCACGCGTCTGTACTATGAGACGCCTCGGTTCACGGTGCTGAACCAGACGTGGGTCCTGAAGGCACGCGTGAACGACTCGGAGCGCAACCCCAACCTTTCGTGCAAGCGCACCCTCTCCTTCCAGCTCCTGCTCAAGAGCAAGGTCACCGCGCCCCTGGAGTGCTCCTTCCTGCTGCTCAAGGGCCCGTACGACGATGTGAAGATCAGCCCGGTCATCTACCACTTCGTGTTCACCAACGAGAGCAACGAGACGGACTACGTACCACTGCCCATCGTCGACTCTGTGGAGTGCAACAAGCTGCTGGCCGCCAAGAACATCAACCTGCGGCTCTTCCTGTTCCAGATTCAGAAGTAGGCGGCCCTGCCCACGCCCACTGCCGTGGCTGCACCGCACCATTTCCCATCTCAGTGGAGAAGGAATGGAAGCGAACCCTGGGACGTCTGCATGTGTGTGCGAAGGTGGGAGCCCCCTCGCCCTCTGCCCCACCTCCTCTCCTGGGCGCCGGAGGCTGGGCCCCTGAAGAGGAGACACTGCTCGGGGACCCAAGGGGTGTGGCGTGGCTCAGCTGCCTGGCCCCAGCCCCCAGCGTGCAGTGGGCCCCACGCCTGCTCTGGGCTGCACAGCAGGCCACCCACAGCTTCTGGGCCGGGCTTGGGGGCACTGACCACAGACAGCATATTTGATTGCAATTAAAAAGGCACCCTGTTTCCTATTTTCTGTTTTGTTCAAGAGGAAGGCGTGGCTATAGTTGGACAGGATGGGGTCTTCAGTTTGGCCAGGGTCAGAGCCCACCCTCCAGGAGAGACTTGGAGTCAGTGCCTGCTCTGTCATAGGCTTGGGGGAGTGAGCAGTCAGTTTCCCCAACACACCCACCCCCAGCTGCTCCAGGGAGGCAAGACTTAGCCACAGGGCTCAGCAGGCTCTTCGGATTGCAGGGTGATTTTCTGTCTCTTCCCAGGAAAATAAACCCTTTACGGGTTCTTGTCTAAATTACACAAATTTAGCAAAAGAGAATCTATCTTCTGTATTCAGTCTCAAGGACTCAGTGTCTCCAGGCCATGAGGAGAGTTCTGGGGTGTGCTAGCAGCGAGCAAGCCTGGCTGGCTGAAGGTCTGAGTGGTCCAGCTGCTCTCAGGGACCATCCGTTGGTCATGCGTCCAGTGGAAGTCAGCACTGGGCAGGGTGGTCCCTCCCCCAGGGAGGTGGTCCCCTGGGGCGCAGGCCTGTGGCCCTCACGGAGGGAAGAACCCTGCCTGAGACCCCGAGACCTGTTTGTGAAGGGGGCGCGGGCCCTGCTGAGACCAGGCTCCCCGCACTCGTGGCTTCAGTACCAAAGAGCTGGTTCCCTCCCCCCAGGCCAGCCCACCCGGGCCTGGAGCAGAGCCTGCTGGCCTGGCCCCCACTGCAGGCTTGGTGGGCAGGGCCGCCCTGGCCTGTCTCTGGGGGCTGCTCTCTCCTGGCCCTCTGGTGGGAGCTGAGCAGAGGGGTGAAGGAGCTGTGGCATACAGCTTGAGCCCAGTTCCTAGTGGCCAAGGCAGCTCTCCCAGGCCCAGGACTCCCCTGTCCCCCACCCAGGGCATGGTGCTGGCAGGAGACGACTCCTGCAAGGCCGACTCAGCCTTGCCTCCCCTCCACGAAGAAAGGCTCCACCCCAGTCACACCCTCCTGTGGTCCCACTGCCCTCCAGGGCCGGCCCCCACCTGCTAGTGGGCACAGGTGAGGACATTCAGGTCCATGCAGGCTGCGTCTCCTGTGTGTGGAATGGTGCCGTGACACCATATCAGGTCTTTTGGGGCCAAACACCCTCTCTGTGGGTTCCAAAGTGACCATATGGGGAGTGGGGGGAGGACAGGGCAGGCTTGCCTGGTCTGTGTGTGTTTGGGTGCCTGTGTGAAGCTGAGGCAGCAGAGGGTCAGGCCACCTGTCAGCTCTCCTGGGTGGGCAGGTGAAGGTGTGTGACTGGGAGGCGAAACCAGGGCCGGGCGAGCCGCGCTGCGTGTGTGGGGAGGGCCAGGGGGAGCGGCACTCTGCCGCCCCAGGTCAGCTGTGCACAGGGGCACAGCCCAGGAGCTCCAGCGGCCTGAGAGCCAGCACTGGTGGGGGGCTGGTGCCCAGGCAAGGCCCTCCCTGTAGGGGTGTCTGGGGATGCCCGAGACTACTCATCTACCCCACGGCCCCACCCTGTGACAGTCAACTCAGCAGCTGAGCCTTACGCCTATGGAGCAGGGCACCCTGGGACACTGTAGTGTGTTCTTGGCCACCAACAGAGGCTGGTGCCTGCTTGTGGCATCTCGCCAGGAGTCACTGGTTTACTGGAGGGTGTCCGAGTCATGTTGTTAGAAAGGAGAAGGCACCAGCGGTCTGTCTCCAGGATCCCAGTCCATCTTAGTATCCTGAGCTGGTGAGGGTGGGGGTGCAACCTCAGCAGATGTGGGGGCAGCCCTGGGGGCACAGGTCAAGCCCCACTTCCCCTTCTCACCCCACTTCCTTTTAAACACTACATTTCTCAGCCCAAAGTGAGACATTTACAAAAATAATAAAAAATAATTTTTTAAAAAGAGGAGTCAAGAGGTGTTTTTACAACATATTGTGTTGCTTTTGTGGTCTATAATCTCTTTCAATATTTTCTGTCTGTATCTATAGTTTTTAAAAAGTTCCAAGCCAAGTTTTGTTTGTATTTCCTTACAAGACAGCCTCATCTATGGGCCTCCCAGCCAGGGGCTGAGGCTGGCCCCAACCCTCAGTCTCCCCACCCCAGGCCCCCAGCTCTTGCTGGCAGCGCCTTGGATGCGCATCCCTGTCTGATGGGTGGGGAAGGTCAAGGCTAGGGAAGCTGGGTCCTCTCTCAAATGGGATCAGGCCCAGAACCTGAGCTGCCCTGAGGATGCTGGTGCTGGAGGGCTGGAGGCACAGAGGGGTCGGGAGGCGCCCTCCACGCTCAGCCTGTTCAGCTGGGACAGTCTGTTCCCACGGCTTGACTCCCCCCACCCGCATCCTGCATCTCACTGTGCCCCTGGAACCTCACAACCCACCTGCCAAGCAGCCACCTTGGTTTCCTGCCCCGCTGGGATCCACGTTGGGGAGGGCAGGGGGCAGGGAAGAGCAGCACACCCCTTGAGAAGGCTGAGAGGAGGCCCTCCTGCAGCTCCTCAAGCTCAGCCTCAACCCAGCCCTGTAGCCACCCACTGACCCTGGGCAACCTTCCCTGGACCTGCAGACCAGCTGCCCTCCATATAGCTCCCTCCCCAACAGGCCTTGCTGCCCATCCACTGGCTGAGAGTTTTACCCCATTGGGTGTGATTCCATTTCTGATTCTTTGGGGAGCCCGCCAGGCTCCTCTGTCTATGGGATTCTTCAGGCAAGAATACTGGAGTGGATAGGCATTCCCTTCTCCAGGGGATCTTCCTGACCCAGGGATCAAACTCAGTTCTCCTACATTGCAGGCAGATTCTTTATCGTCTCAGGGAAGCCCCATTTCATTTGTCTCCCAGTCCTTCCAGGCCTCCTTTAGGGCCTTTGGGGTGTCATCCCTGGCACCTAGGGCTCAGGGGCCCGCAGTTGGCAGCGGGAACAGAGAGCCACACGGCCTAGCAGGTGTTTGGTTCTCCAGGCGTGGGTAGAGGACGGGCACTTAGAGGCCGCCAGGGCTCCCCACGCCCCGGATCTCCCGGCTCTGAGGCCACAGCGCTCCAGGCTCGAATCCTGCCCCCTTTACCTCTCAGCACATGACGGTTTTGCAGTTTTATCGAGGGCACGCTGAGTTTTCCAGGAATACAACCGTCGAGCACACCGAGAAGTTCAATTCATTTTGGAACTCAACACCCCCCTCCCGCCGGCAGGACTGGGGGTCGGAGTCCCCGCGTGTGAGGACTCCAGCGCGTTCGCGGTTGATGCAGGTTCTGCGGGGACACAGATCCGAGCGCCCAAGTGCCCGTGGTCCCCGAGGCCTTCCTCTCCTCCCCTGCGAGGGCAGTGCGTTCCTCAGGGCAGGTCGCGCGGGTGTCCAGAACAGCGGCAGCAAGCGGCGGGAGCCCGGGAGACCTCACCCCAAGGGCGGCTGCGATGGTGGGGCGGGGCCCGGGCTCCGCGCGCAGAAGACCCGGGTACTGAGGACGCCTTCCGCGCTTCGGGCCCCAGCGCAGACCTACTACAACTCCCAGGATGCTTTGGGCACCTGGACTACACTTCCCGAGATGCTCCGCGGCAGAACCGGGCCTGCGCGCGGAGCCGAAGAGGGCGGGGCCGCCGCGCCAGCCGAGAGCGCGCGAAGTCCGGAACTCGGGGCGCGGCGAGTGCAGGATGAACCTGGAGCGCGAGCTTCGCCGTGAGTCCAGGGAAAAGAGCCCGAGCGCGGGGGCTGGAGACGGCCCTGGCCCTCCCGGGCGGAGAGGCTCAGCGCTCAGGCCTCGTCTCTCTCTCTGCAGAGCTGAGCAAGGCCAAAGCTAAGGCCCAGAGGAGCGGGCGGCTGCGGGAGGAGGCCTCCGTCTGCCACCAGCTAGGGGAGCTCTTGGCCAGCCATGGTGCGTGGGGTGGAGTAGGGGCCGTAGGGGCATGGGACCGGGGGCAGGGGCTTCCTGAATACCGGCCGGCCGCCACCCCATTGGCCTTGCTGCCCCTGGCCCACTGCCCAGTCGGACGGAAACCTGTCCCGCCCACCCAGGCTGCTACGCGGAGGCCCTGCGAGAGCACCAGCACGAGCTGCAGCTCCTGGAGACCACCGACGACCCCCTGGGCTGCGCCGTGGCCCACCGCAAGATCGGAGAACGACTGGCGGAGATGGAGGACTACTCGGCTGCCCTGCAGGTGGGCGGAGACCGGCCCACCCCAACGCTGGCTACAGTCTACTCTCCCAGGCTCGCGTCTCCTGGGGGCATAGCCTGCCCGGTCTCTGCCGTCCAGGCCTCTGGCTGGAGGGAAGAGTGGGAAATGGTGCGATGAGGCTTCAGCTTCAGAGAGCCCTGCATCGGCAGTGGTCACCTGGTCCTTGGATGCACGCACCACAGCCTCTCCTGGGAACGTGGCTCCAGAAACCACTGATGAACATGTTACTGGAGCTGAAATCACTGGGGGCTGGCTGGGTGGGATTCCAGACCCTTTATCCACACAGAGCTGCCCTGGCTTCTGTGTTCCCGCAGCACCAATGACTCCCAGTCAGTTTCTCCTCGCATGATTGGCTGGTTAGCATGTGGTGCCACCGTCCCCGCAGGCAGGGCTTGGCATAGAGGAAACAGTGTGTGTGCAGCCTGGCTTCGGCCTGCACCTGGGGGCTTGGGGGACATGTGGGGCTTGCTTGCAGTGGGGGTTGGCTCACAGCGGCCATACTTCTTTGCCCCCAGCACCAGCACCGCTACCTG